TCACATTTCACATGTATAAATCTCCTTGGGTCTGCAGTTTCTACATTCTCCCAGTTCAGGTCCATCCCTACCCCACACAAGGGTCTTCTTGGAAGTGAAGTCTGTAATTTGACAGCTCATCAACCGGTGCGATATGGAAGTTTATTTCTTGTCATTATTTCCATTTTTGCTTTCTCAGATCTATGTCTCAGCATTTTTCTTATGGTTCTTCCATGTTTACTTTCATCATCCTGAACCACAATCCTCACTCAGACAACTGTGCTTGGATGAACATTCTGATATTCCATGACTTTCCTGATCCAGCTTGGTTTCCAAAACTTCCTTCATTTTTTATTAAACCTTTGTTGTACTGAAAAAGGGCTTTGACCATATCCCTCAGGGAGCAGGCACTCTCCTTAAACATATACATATATTATGAGTTTCAGGCAGGCAGAAGTGAACCTTCACAAAAATACCTGGTGTGATACGAGATGCTAAAAGGAAATTTTTGTTGAGAAGATTCTCGAATAATTATTATTTCAAGTCATATTTATTTTATTTTTGCAGTAGAGGCTATTGGGGCCATTATGTGGTGATATTGCATCAGAAAATGCGAATGGCTTTTGCTCCTCTTCTCTGTTGTCTTTTCCAGTTTGTTCAAAACCTAAGGATTTTTTAAAGTACGAGAGCATCCTCACCACAAATGCATACTTAAGTAATGTATTTTTTATTGCAAGTAAGCAATAAAGTACCTAATATTGGACATGAAGAAATAGTTATTCTTTTTTGTCCCCAGACAATTTTTTATCAGCTGTGTGGTGGCATAGCAGTGTATCTTCTATTGGGGGAAAACAGCATTTAATCATTAGTCATTATTAGAGGGACTTGACATTGCATCCCATTAAATTTTATTGCTGTCAAGATATCGTGGTCAGTTCTCAGCCAAACCTACAAATCTGGTTCGGCCCTTGATGAAGGCTAACCAGTGGCACTGAAATAAAGAAAACTGGAAATAACTCAGACCTTGTGATAAAACTTGGCAAGGACAGGGTTGCTGTCTCTATTTTAAGGCACAAAGTATATATCAGCCTTTGACACAATAGAAAGGAGAAATAAAATAATGCATGTGCAAGTAGTTAAGTTCTTTACCAAGAGAGTGGTGAGGTGCTGGAACAGGCTGCCCAGAGATGCTGTGGATGCCCCATCCCTGGAGGTGTTCAAGCCAGGTTGGATGGGCATCTGGGCAGCCTGGTCTAGTATTAAATCTGGAGGTTGGTGGCTCTGCATGCAGAAGGGGGATTAGAACTTGATGATTCTTGAGATCCCTTCCAACCCAAGCCATTCTATGATTCTATGTTTCTATGAAGTAAGTAAAGTGTTACAATCAAAAAGCTCATTGTGCAAATGAACAATGCTTTTCTATTATTGTTTTCAGTTGTGCTACCTGCATTATCTAGAGAAACCCTTGGAATGATTCTTGGAGATCTGGCAATCACTGGTAGTAAGTAAAACATGACTATTGGTTTCAGTCAATATGTTTTCATTTAGGAATAAATGTCTATTGCAGGAAGTAGAGGACTGCTGTTTGGTTCTGTGGGCTCTCTGAAGTATCGATACCAAATAATAATAAAAAACATTTACATAGAGATACTATTGCTCCACTTGATTATTCTGTTGAGGAGATTTCACAACCTTTTTAAAGTGGAGGGGGTTAGAAATAAGCAAAAAAAAAAAAACAAAACCCTTTTTCTTCCCAGTCTTTAATCACAACAACTGAAAGATTAGTGACTTTTAACCTTGAATTTAGTATTTTCCGAATATGAAGCTCATTCTTTTGTTACCGTCTTCCATTAAACTGTTACTATATAAAGTAATGATTTCAAAAGAAAAGAAAGTGATAAGTTATTGAAAGACATATCTCAAAATGTTTTCACTCCCACCAAATTCAGAGAACCATTTCCTCTGGAAGACCTGAACAATGCCTCAGTCTGGTGCAATTTGTTTTAAATTTACTAAGTATGCAAACTGTTCCTTGAAAACGATAGAACTTATCCTCCCCTCTCTCTTCACATCGTACATACAATAGCACCCTACTTTTCTCTTCTCCCTTTATCCATCTTTATTGGAGATTTTTTGTTTTGCTTTTTCTCTGCTTAGTGATTTAGCTGAAACCTCCTCACACCACATACAAATCCTATACTGACAAGCCAGCACAGTTTAAATTATTCACACTTCAGTGTACATGAGCTGCAGTGCAACAATCAGCTGAGCAATCATTCCATTCACTGGTCTCTTCTGAACTTATTAATGACAAATCACAAGAAGAAAAATAGAATCCTGTGCAGCTAATGAAAGCTTAAGTCTGAGTAAAATCATTTCCATATAAGCACATAAAATCACATCAGCAGCAACAACAAAAAGCCTTAGTAAGATTAGCTTAAATGTATAAATGCATAAATAAAGTAAAAATTAATATTAAAAGACCATGGAACAATTGTTAAGACCTATCTTTTGTACATTTGATATGACAGCATAGAGTCACATTAAAGTCTTTAAAATCTTTTTTTTTTTTATGATAGTGAGATTCTTTAATCAATCCTCTAATTATATGCCAGAGATAAAAATAAGACAGTGGAAACTATAGAGGAGGCCAGGAAACATGAGCAACTGCTTCAACTGTTTTGACCAAAGCAGTTCAGCTGACATAAAGCATGATACTGAGTCAGGTTTATACAGCAGGGAAATGGCATTTAGCATTGTAGGTCAATACAACAAATGAGATATCTTGAAACACACACAAACAAACGAAAAAAAAAAAAGAAATGTGCATTTTTAAATTGAATTTTGTAGAAAACAGATGAATTTCTTTATATTCATCTCCCTCTAACATGAAATCTGACTGCTTTTTTGATTGTTTGTGTAAATGGAGAGGAAATTCTCCAGGACATGTGGTAGTAGTGGCAGGCCAGAGGCAGGCAACTGAGTAATGTTTCTTCAGAAGAAAAAGGATAGGAAAAGGAAAAAAACAAGAATTTATTCAAAAAAAGAGGTTTTAGCCCTGATACATGTCGCATATCTTTTGATACACTGATCTTTATGTAACAGAAGTAAGAATCGTGTGGACGTGTGTCTATTTATTCTAGTATATAAACCAACTCCTGGACACAGGTTCTATGACAGGCTTCATGCAGTTTTTCAGGATACTGAACTACAAGCAGATTTACGAGTAAAAGTTTGCCCCTGCCAATTAGCACTGCCTACCCTGTATTGTCCCTTGAAAGCATCCTAGAAGGCTTTGCACCCCAAAGTGCCTCAGTGTGCCCTCAGACTACTCCCCATAACATGGAACTTTCACTTTGCTACTTCAGAAACCTCTACTTCACTATGTTCATACCTCATCAGCTGAAGTCTCTTAAAATGTAAGCTGATGGCTAGCCTCCACCTTATTTCAAACAAAACAACAAAACTCACAGGTAATAGTAGATTAGATCACAATAGCAGACAAGTATAGCTGGGTGCTGACTCTGCTTTCTGTAGTAATGGCTGGAAAGAGGTGGGTGAATTGTAGCAAGTTAAAAATGTAGATTAGTTTGTAGAAGGTAGCTGAGGAAATGATGAAAAGTTAATGGAATGGTCAAACAATGGCAGCTCTTTGAAAATCAATGAATAAAAAAACAGTGCTTAAAACTGAATAAAAATATTATTTAAGCTATAAAGATACATTCTGAGATTTTGTTTAGGGGTTTGTAATCTGCAAACAAAACTCAAGTGAATTGAAGATCACTAAATTGTGAAGACGTTTCAATTAGAAATTGCTATAGCACATATTTTGGTTCTGGCAAGAAAGATTATTCTAATCTGTGCTGTATTATTTTATTTTCTGTCATGTCAGAAGATCTGACAATAGAATTAATTCAGTGAAAGTTCTCAGACAGTTTCAGTCAAACAAAATTTGAATTTAGGGGGAGTGAAGGGGGGACAAGGGATGGGAGTAAAAAAGTCTTGCTCTTGAAATCTTTTGCATAAGACTTCATATGATTTAGAAGCCTTAACTGAAGGCCAGTGATTTTGTCCAACAGCCCAGGCAACACAAAAGGGAGAATAAAGTTAGCCAAGCAACAGTAGGCAGATCTTTTCACTGAATCACAGAATCGTATAACCTGGGTTGAGAAGGACTTCAAAGATTATCTAGTTTCAATTCCCCTGCTGTGGGCAGGATCACCAATATGATGCTTAGTGCAAAGGCAGGACATCTAGTCATCCTAGTCTTGTACAAAGAAGCTCTATTTTATATTTTCAGGTAGCACATGTTAAAAGTTATATCTGACAGACAATCTGAATGGGGAACCTTCTAGCACACACAGTCTTCTCAGGGAAATTTTTTGATACTTTGGTAGATCTGTATATATCATTAGCACTTTTCATTAATAGCTTTATAAAGTTTATATAATTTTGTATATGGTTTCTTGTCTTTTTTATTATTCTTTTTCCTAGAAGAAACACAAATCTCCTTTCTTTTCTCTTTTTTCTTCTATCTCTCCCCAGTTTTGGCAAGAAAGCCACCAGGGGAAATGATCATGAACTAATTATGAAATATAATATCATATTTTATAATTATGAGAGAATTATGAATGGTCAGATCAGCCAGTTCTTTCAGACATTTTTAAAGCTAAAGCCTGGCCCTTTAAAAGAGATATATAGGTTTAGTAGTTTTTTTTAGTAGCTTCAGAGTTTCAAGGAGTGACAGGTGCTGATTGCCCTACCTATGTCTTTAAGGAGTGACATTTCACATTAAGCAGCTGATAGGGTTCTTATTCAAGCATCACAAAATCTTATACCTTTTAGGATACTTAGCTCAGCAGATAGGAATGGGTATTGTACAGTTAACAATTCATTTCTTCTCTTTCTAGCTCTGTGTTAGATCAGTGTCAGCTCTTCCTGATCACCATTAGAACAGAAAAGAGATCAAACTCACAAGTGTATATAAACTATTTTAAAGTAACAAGCCATTAAAAACTTACCATGTGAGATTATTAAAAAAAATTGTGATTCTAATGGGGTGAAATTATGCTGCTTTCATTCACTACTGGGTTGTTTCTGGAACAGAAAAAAAAGAGTATGTGATAAGGTTATTTTCAAGCAGTTTGATTTGCTGTCTTTAAGATGAAAAAAAAAAGGTATTGTCCATGTGACAGCCTTCCGTGTAAACAAAGCCAAATTGAGAAATTCTTCTGTTTTGGACTGGTCTCCATGATAAACTCCATGTTAGGTGGAATGCCAGAAGTCTAATGTGAATACTACCCCAGTTTTCCCTGAAGACTTCGTATCAAGCACAAGACACAGCCCTGAGGAGACCTTTATGTATGGACACAGAGAAATATGAGTCACATTCTGCAGTCTGAGAGCACAAGCTAAGCTGTTATGGTGACACAGCCAAAGGGTTTTATGTTTCCCCAGTAGATCAGAGCACTTGTGACTGAAGGCACTGTTTGGCAACAGAAGGAAATACTTCTGATCCATACATTTTTAGTTTGCAAATGTCACTGGATTCTGTCACTTGGCCTCAGATCAGTTCTAGCAGAAATCCCCCTTGTAATCAAGTGATCCAGCATAGCAGCCTTATTTGGCTTACCACTTCTTACCTATGAGAATAGAGCTTGCTTCAAAGGTTCCACATCAGCTACTGGAAGCAGTCTGGCCTTGGCAACATGGAGCTCTCCTTAGTCTGGAAAATCTGTTTCTCTGCTGCAAAGAGCAAAGCTATTTCATTCAAACGTAGCTCTTTATTGCTGTCTGGAAAGCATATGTTATTTCCAGCTGTGCTAGGTGCAAGAAGTAACTATTCAAAGATGGGTTGGATATATTTCCCTGGGTCTACTTCTTTCCATTTCAAAGGAGATGCTCTGAAACCATTCTGTGATGAGACAAACAGATATTGATTGCTTAAATTCTTCTCTTAGGCACAAATGTTAATGAGCTGAGGTGCCCAGGATAATATAAAAGCAAATCTGTGTATCTGTGAAACTTTCCTTAGTGACCAGACTGTTGCACAATTATCATTAATTATTTATGGATGTTACCACCCACATCGTTACAGACTCTTTCCAAGCTATCCCTGCCTGAACAGTAATATTCCTTTGTACAAAAAAAAAAAAATAGCGGCAGTGATGTCAACAGTGTTGCAACCAGGCCGTATCTGACCCATTTTGCACTGTAACTATTGCCATTTTCTTAAGCTCTAGCATAGCAGAGTAGAAAATGTGACTTCCAGAACTATTCAAGAAAGCATAATTATCCTTGATTGTCCAAGGGATCTATTTGTAACATTAGACTTTAAGTTTAAAGACTGCAATATTCCAGGGAAATTAAGCATGTTGCATAAGGGAAATGAATGCATGTTGAAAAGATGCATTATTAGGTGCTTAATATAATCACAGTTTCTGGATTGCTGTAGAGAACTAGGGCAGTATTGCTTTGAAAACTGTTGTGTTCATGCTCAAATTTCTCCCTACCAGACACATCATAGAATAAGAGAATCACAGAATCACATAATGGCCAGGGATGGAAGGGATCTCATGCATCATGAATCTCCCACCCTCCTGCCACATGCAGGGCCAGCAACCTCCACATTTAATAGTAGACTGTCATATACATGTGTAAACTCAGGATATGTTGAAAAAAACCTACTGAGACAAATAGGATGAATGAGTTGAGCTGTTGCATTGTACACACCTGAAAAATTAATTTCCTGTCTAAATAATCATGTATGTTGTCTTTCTTTTCTTTGCAGAAAGGGAACGTAGAAGATTATTGACATCATGATGGATTTGAAACAGCTCCAGAGGTCGATTCTCTACACTCAGTTTAGATAATAGCTTAGATATCCTCTGATCTGTGTTAATTAACATTTCAGGAGCTATCCTCAGAGATGCCTACGCTAGAGATGTGAGATATACTGCCTGCTATGTACCTGAGATTCTCTACCTATCATACATATGCCTCAAATGCATGCAAATATTCAATACTTTTTCCTGTATAAGAATCAGTCAATTACTTAACATTGGATCTGGTACAATTTATATTTATAGAGAGGGGGACGAAGAGCTATGACTCTTATGATTCTACTTAAATGGAAATAATTTATATGCATACAGTGCCTCATAGCAATGTTATTTCTCTAGCTATTCTTAGAATGGTCCTTATTACCATGTGACTCATAGGACAAAAAAAATCATTTAAACAATTTAAACATTTTTTTTTTTTCCTGCCCGTCATTTATAATTGGTTTGTGCATTAGAAACTGATATCCTTCATTTATTTCTGTGTACACAAGCGTGTGGATAATTGGGAGGAGCAGGGGCAGCAAGCAGGTATCTGTGTATGTCCAAGGAAAAAACATCCAAATACAGGTAACTTCTAACATAACTGTAACATATAATCTTGAAAACACCAACCTTTTAAAATTAATGAGAGAGCCCTTTCTTAATATATCCTTCTTGTGGTAGAAGGTACTGTGCTTGCATTTGTTATTAAAAGGATGCTAATCATTGTCTTCTCCTTTTGTGTGTCTATTTAGCCATATTGATTCATTTCTGGTCAGAAGTGGAAAACTACTTTGATTTGGAGGGCAAGTTTATGTAAAACTGTTTTAACAACTTTTCTAACACAGTGGAAAAAATATATATATATACATAGCTGATTTAGCTAGAAAATGTTATCTTGGATTTCAATCTTTTCTTGCACTTTAATAAAAAATCTAAATAAATTAGTACTGTGAATATTAAATTAATCTTCAAACTTCAAAGAGTAAAATCTCAACCTTTTTTCAAGTCTTTGGGAATTTAAATTTTGGTTGGAGTAAAATAATTTTATTTAGCAGCTATATGGCAAAACAGTGAGAAAAAAGTATCTGAGAAAGTGTTGTAATTTCAAAGGTAAACCAGAAAGATAACGTTATGTAAACATGAAATTCTGGTTTATCTCAAATGTGTTATCATTTGGATCTTTGGTGAAAAATCCTACTAATCAGTGGGCTTATTGGAATTTACCTATTGTGTTACAGAAAACTTATAAGTAAATTAAACAATTTTGTTCATCACATATATTTCTACTGATTAATTTGATAAACAGTATGACTATTATATGGTCCTACTTTTGCATATCAGATTGTACAACCCATATCCTTCTACCATAAGGAAGATTAAACTGAAACAATGCAAACTGGATAATTGTCAAATCACTTCACTGCACTCCTTCTTTTCCAAAACAGAGAGGGGGGAAAAAATAAAGGAAGTTCTTACCTACATATAGTATGGACAAATAACTGCATTAAAGTAATTATACTCAAATCCATTAAAGCATTAAAAAAAAAATCAAAATTAAAATTGTTACTTCAAAACTCTACGCAAAATATGAGAAGCATGTTAACAAACATGACTGGGCCCTTGCTGTGCCTAGGCTGTGAGCTTTAGTTATGTTATTGCTTAAGCCAAAATTTAAATATCCTTATACCAGATGGTTAACTTTTTTTTTTTAATTATTATTATTTTTTTTAATTAGTCTGGGATTTGTCTATTTCCCTGTGTTTGTTAATATTGATTATTTTACAACTCTATTGAGCAGAATAGACTCAAAAGGAATTTGTTTATATTAACACAAAATTAAAATCAATTACTCTGTCCAGAAATGAAGAACAAATTCATAATTGAATAAAAAACAGACAAAACAGAAACATCAGAAAAATCACTATAGAATTTCAATAATATAACACTCAGCAATTATATACTCTTGTTCAGTTTCATCTCATCAAACAAAGGATTTTCATATTAGTGTAAATTCAAGTTTTCTATGTATCAGTTTCAGATCATGAACCAACCTTATGCCAAGCAGCATCTTACATTTAACAAAAATCCCACTGATTTCAGTAAAACTACTTAGATAGAAATACTGTTCATGTTAGTAATGATGGTCAAAATAGATAACAGTGATGTGTATCATACATTCGAGAACTATTCCAGATGTTGTTAATGTATCCATTGCCATAACAGTTTTCCTTTATGCCCCTGAATTTTTACCCAATATAGTACTGCATAAATTTTATATTACTGCATGAATTTCATATTATAACATGAATGAAATGTGCATAGCATTTCCAATAGCTTTTCTTTGTTTCTTTCAGGATATTACTTATGACACTTTCCTCTGGAGTAAATGCTGTGAACTGGCTCACATTTCCCTACTTCTACTCTTTTGAAGAGTAACTATGGATAAGAGCTCATGGATAACCAGTGATGCTGACACACATATAGTTCCTCAAGACTTTACCCTCAAAATCTTGCTGTTTCACTGGTCCTGTTCACTTCCACACACCAAAAAAGCTCTCCCCAACTTGGAATTCAGGCTTGAGTACTAGAAGGTAAAAATCTTGTTTGTATACATTTTGGGACCAGAGCAGAGTAATATAGTTGTCTTCCTCGTAGAATCAGTTGCCAATTTTGATGGACCTATTAACATAAAGATAATATCTTTCCTTTTGGTCCTCACATTGATCATTATCATAAACCAAGATTGCTACCAGCCAGTGAGTGGCTTAAGCAGGCAAATAAAGGAGGGCTGTTCTGAAAGTAATGCCTCTTATTTTATTATGTTGACCAAGATGCCAGATGCAGATGTTACTGGTATGTCAGTAGAGACTGAATGTTTCCACCAATATTCCATTACATTTTGCTGTGATACAGCAGATAGCAATAAGGGGGGGCAGTCTGAAAAAAATGGTGTCTTGACATGGAAGGACAGACGAAGCAAAGGTATGTGATTAAATTCCTCCATGTAGAAAAAATGGCACCTATTGACATTGACACTTGCTGAAAGTTTATGGAGAGCAAACAGTGGATGTGATCACAGTGAGAGAGAGGGTAATATGTCTCAGCAGTTGAAAAAGTAGTGGGGCACTTTCACTGATACAGATTTTTATGAGTGGTATGCAGGTTCTTAGAATCATAGAATCACCAAGCTTGGAAAAGACCTATAAGGTCATCTCACCCAACCGTCCTCCTATCCCCAACAGCTCTCACTAAACCATGTCCCTCAGAACAATGTCTAAATGTTCCTTGAACATGTACAGGGTCCATGACCCCACCACCTCCATGTGCAGCCCATTCCAGCATCTGATCATTCTTCCAGGAATGTAGTATTTCCTAATATTCAGCCTTAATCTCCCCTGGAGCAACTTGAGGCCATTCCCTCTAGTCTTATCACTATTTATATGAGAGAAGAGGCCTACACCCAGCTCACTACAACCTCCCTTCAGGTAGTTATAGAGAGATATGTCTCCCCATGCCTCCTCTTGTTTATGACAGGTGAAAACACATAGCTAGCAGTGGTGCCTATGTTGAAAAACAATGAGATTTTGCTCTATCAAGTAGTGTTATTTTGCTCTTTGTTATAGTTTCAATAGAAATAAACAGGAGGTATTACTTACATTACAGAGCTACATATGTAGTATGTGCATTCCACTTACAGCTGATTTCTTGTTTTTATCAACAGAGCCTGTATCAGACAAATTGTAAAGACAACAGGAGATCTCACCCAAAAGAGGTTCATAGGATTTCTGTGTCATGTAATCCCCAAAACATGTTTTCTGTGTGAAGACTAGCATTCAATTATTCTTCACGTTCATAAACCATTACAGGTGAACTATGAATGCCAGCAAGAACATGATGCCTGGATTCAAATATTTTGTAGCTATTACAGTGGGAGCAGATAACTATCTTCTCCTTTCCAGTAAACATTGGCATTGAAATATATCTGATTTTAA